TTCTTTCTTTCTTTCTTTCTTTCTTTCTTTCTTTCTTTCTTTCTTTCTTTCTTTCTTTCTTTCTTTCTTTCTTTCTTTCTTTCTTTCTTTTCTTCCTTCCTCTTCCTTCCTTCCTTTTTCCCTCTGTCCCTCCCTCTTACTTTTTATTTTTCTCTTTCTTTCTTCTTTCCTTCTTTCCTTTCACCCTCTGTCCCTCCCTCCTTTTTCTTTTCTTTTCTTTCCCTCTTTTCTTCCTTCCTTCTTTTTTCTTTCTTTCTTTTCTCTCTCTCTCTCTCTCTCTCTCTCTTTCTTTCTGGTCTTTCAAATATCATTTTACTGCAGCAATCATTTAGATTGTAATTTCAGATTGCTTTCCAGGGACTTTTTTCAACATTTTTTTTTAAAAAAATATTTCCAAAGTGAAACTGCACAATAAAGCGGGGGGGGGGGGAAACAAATCAACAGTCTGAACACCCCAATACTTTATGAAGAGATTGGACAATGATTTGTCTGAAATGGTTCAGGGTTTCTGCTTGAGCAAGAGGTTGGATTAGAAGGCCTACCCTGTTTCTTCCAATTCTATTATTCTCTCCTAGTATTCTGTTATTTTTACTGTTTTTCCCTTATTGTTTTATTTCTCATTTCATTTCATATTGTATATTTTGTCTGAATTTGATGTTTCCTCTTAATTTATGCTATTCCATTTTTATAACTACAGAGGGTGGATTTTTGCATCCCTAAGAGCAGGGGTGGGATTCAAACATTTTAACAACCGGTTCTGTGGGCGTGGCTTAGTTGGTGGGCGTGGCTTGGTAGTCATGTTATTGGCAGGGCATGGCCAACTCAATATCACTCACATCGAGGCATGCATCTCCTTGCCTGGCCTCTCATGACTGTGGGGATACTGCAACAGTCGTAAGTGTGAAAAAGGGTCATAAGTCACTTTTTTCAGTGCCATTGTAACATTGAATGGTCACTCCACACAGGCAAAGTACCAGCAAAGGAGGGGGAAAAAACTCCAGGGAAGTTCCTGAGACAGGAAGTCTAGTCCTGCCAAGAATGTAATAAGGATTAACGGAGAGGCAGTTTCTGTAAGCAACCCCAGAATGTTTCCTTCCTGCCTTCCTTACAGGATTAGGCCAGTAATTTCCTCTAACAACCGGTTCTCCGAACTGCTTAGAATGTTAACAACTGGTTCTAGTGAATAGGTGCGAACCGGTAGAATCCCACCCCTGCCTAGGAGGGATGATAGCATTCTAAATCAATTAATACATTGTTTCAAAACATTGTGTTTTGAAATTGATACCTGTTCTCTGTTATCACTCATCTTAGGAATAATATGATTAAACTAATGAAGGCTATTTGTCTTTTGCAGAAGGGAAAAACTGGTGTTATGCCTCACAGCAGTGTAAAGACCCAGACTGCAAAGGTAACTTTCAAAACCAACAGTTCACTGTTCACTTTAAAACAAGAACTAGGGGCAAAGTGTGGAAAAAATGCCATTCATTATATTTCCTATTCTGTAGCCTCACTATTATGGGAAGCTATGCAAAGAAACGCTGATTGTAACTAATGGTAATAAAAAACATGGAAATCTTGGAGAGCTTCTGGCCTACTTTGCTGCCATGCCAGTCTTGCCCTGAAAGGACCCTCTGATTGCAAAGTTAAATTGCTTTCATACTTTTTGCCACTAGCCTGACTATAAGGTAAAAGGTGAAGGAGTCCCTGTGAATTTTACTTTGCTAGTGATTGCTGGAGGGCTCTGTTTTAAGGCCATTGAATTAGCGCTGTCTGAAGACAATTCTGTGATCATGTGACCAGCATGACATCGCAGGAGTACTGTTCCCTTCCCACCAAAGTGGTACCTATTTATCCACTCGCATTTGCATGCTTTCGAATTGCTAGGTTGGCAGGAGCTGAGGTGAGGATGGGAGCTCACCCCATCGTGTGGTGCTTGGGTCTCAAACCTGGGCTGCCAGCTCTCCAGCCAAAAAGCCCAGATCTTAACCTGCTTAACCCCTCCTACTTGAGCAAGGGTTGAATTAGAAGAAAACTTTAAAAAAAGGATGTTGAGACTCTAGAAAAAGTGCAGAGAAGAGCAACAAAGATGATTTGGGGACTGGAGATTAAAACATATGAAGAACAGTTACAGGAACTGGGCATGGCCAGGCTAGTGAAGAGAAGGAACAGGGGAGAAACGATAGCAGTGTTCCAATATTTGAGGGGCTGCCACACAGAGGAAGGGGTCAAGCTATTTTCCAAAGCACCCAAAGGCCAGACAAGGAATAATGGATGGAAACTGAACAAGGAGAGATTCAACCTGGAAATAAGGAGAAATTTTCTGACAGTGAGAACAATCAACCAATGGAACAAAAGTTGTCTTCAGAATTGTGGGAGCTTCATTACTGGAGGCTTTCAAGAAGAGACTGGACAGCCATCTGTCAGAAATGATGTAGGGTCCCCTGCTTGGGCGGGGAGGTTGGACTAGATGACCTACAAGGTCCCTTCCAACTCTGTTAATTTGGAAAAAAAAGGCCTCCAAGATCCCTTCCAATTCTGTTATTGGGTTTTCCCAATGCCTTTTAAAAGGGTGTTTTAGATTATAGCTCAGGAAGTCCTAAAGACTTTAACTGTAAACCATAGTTTGCAGAAATCACGGTTATATTGGTCTTGATCCAATTTCTGTCCCATTCTAAAGTTTTTTTTCTCCTCTCTCTCCTGCAGAGCCTCGTCTATGGGCAAAGGTAGACTCAGAATGTGGGAATGACAAACAATCTCCGGTTAATATTCTCACCCGGCAAGTAACCTACAATGAATCTCTGAAAGCGTTTAATTTTATAAACTACAACGTCAAATCCAATAGGAAATGGACCATGGAAAACAATGGACACACAGGTGAGGAGCAGGAATCACTCATACAAGTCATACAAGTATTCCTCACAATGGGAGAATAAGTGGATGAAAGGTCTAAAATTTACACCAAATTATAAATTAAAAGAAAACTTTTATAATATAATATATCGTTGGTATTTAACACCAGGTGAATCAGTGCTATCAAACTCGATTTCATTGAGGGCCTCCTCAGGGTTGTGTTTGACCTTGGGGGGGTCTGGGATGGGTGTGGCCAATTGGGTGGGCGCAGGGTTGGGATTCAAATTTTTTAACAACCGGTTCTATGGGCGTGGCTTAGTTGGTGGGTGTGGCTTGGTGGTCATGTTATTGGCTGGGCGTGGCCAACTCAATATCACTCACATCGAGGCACGCATCTCCTCGCCTGGCCTCTCATGACTGTGGGGATGCTGCAACAGTCGTAAGTGTGAAAAATGGTCGTAAGTCACTTTTTTCAGTGGCATTGTAACTTTGAATGGTCACTCCACACAAGCAAAGTACCAGCAAAGGAGGGGGAAAAAACTCCAGAGAAGTTCCAGAGACAGGAAGTCTAGTCCTGCCAAGAATGTAATAAGGATTAACGGAGAGGCAGTTTCTGTAAGCAACCCCAGAATGTTTCCTTCCTGCCTTCCTTACAGGATTAGGCCAGTAATTTCTTCTAACAGCCGGTTCTCTGAACTGCTTAGAATGTTAACAACCGGTTCTAGCGAATAGGTGCAAACTGGTAGAATCCCACCACTGGGTGGGTGTGGCCAGTTTGACGTCACTCATGTTAGGGCTCCGAGCTCCGTTTTCGGCTGCAACGCCTCCTGCAACTCTCTGCCAACAAAATGGAGCTAGTAAGGGCCGCTGGCAGAGGCACTGAGGACCGGTCCTTCACTGTTTTCAGAGTGGCCGTATGGGAGAGATCCAGGGGTGGGATTCTACCGATTCGGACCGGTTCAGGCAAACTGGATGTTAAATTTGCATCTGGTTCACCAAACGGATATTTGAACTGACCGGCTGGCCTCGCCCGCCTCTCCCCTCTCCTCCCAGGAGTCTCCGTGCAGCCCATTTTCGATGGAGGTAAGTGCAGAGTCCACGTGGAGGCTCTGAGAGGGGGGAAAACGGGCCTTCCGGAAGTCCGGAAACAGGCCTGTTTCTGGCTTCCAGAAGACCCTCAGAGCCTGAGGGAGGCCATTTTGCCCTCCCAGAGGCCTGAAGGAAGCTTCTGGATCCTTGGGAAGGCAAAAGATGGCCCTCCCGGACGTTCCAGTAAGCCACGCCCACCATGGCCACACCCTCCCAGCAACTGGGCAGCGAACCAGTTGCTGGGATTTTTGAATCCCACCCCTCTGCAAGACCCCCACCAGCAGTTTCACTTCCCAATGACCCTCAATTGACATGACCTCCCCATCACAACCCGTCACAAGAAGTGCAGGGTCTGCATGGCGGCTCTGGGAAGGGGAAAAATGGCCCTCCTGGAAGTACCAGAAGTCCAGGACAGGCCTGTTTCCAGCTTCTGCAGGGTCTCCAGAGCCCAGGGGAGGCCATTTTTGCCCTCCCAGAGGCCTGAGGGAAGCCTCCGGAGCCTGGGGAGGGCGAAAAATGGCCCTCTCAGAGGTTCCAATAAGCCACGTCGACCATGGCCACGCCCACTCAGCAAACCGGTTTGAATCCCACCCCTAGCCAGATCTAAGCACCCTGCAGGCCGAATCCAGCCCCCGGGCCTTGAGTTCGACACCCCTGAGATAAGTTGTCCAGACTGTTTACAGGTATTTCAAATGACTGTTGGAAATGCAAATGTAAAGAAGGGACTTTTAATCATTTATGGTGGACATGTGACAAAGCAAAGAAATATTGGAGTAGGAGGATTGATAGTAGTGGTGGGATTCAAATTTTTTTACTACTAGTTCCGTGGGCGTCGGTCACGGGCGTCCTCTGTGACAAGAAGATGCCGATGCGCCTGAAGGCGAAAATCTATAACTCTGTGGTGCGCCCCGTGGCCATATACGGTGCAGAGTGCTGGCCGACGACCAAAGAAGTCGAAAGCAGACTCCAGACAATGGAGATGCGAATGCTCCGATGGTCGGTAGGCCTCACCCTAGTCGATCGCGTCAGGAACGAAGAAGTGCGTAGACGGTTCAACGTCGTGCCCATCCCCACGGTCATGAGGCAGTCCCGGCTACGATGGTTCGGCCATGTGAGTCGCGCCAAGGAAGAATCCATCATCAAATCTGCGATGAAGGTGACTGTCGGAGGAGCGAGACCGCGTGGTAGACCTAAGCAACGCTGGATGGACACGATCAAGGCCGACCTAGAGATCGCGAAGGCAGACCCGACATACGTGGCAGACAGAGAGGCGTGGAAGCAATACTCAAGGACATTAGCGGACCTCGCCAGAGCGCGAGACAAACGCTGAAGAAAAAGAAGAAGAAGAAGTTCCGTGGGCGTGGCTTGGTGGGCGTAGCAGAGGAAGGATACTGTAACATCTCTAGTCAGAGGTGGAATTTGCCGGTTCTCTCAACTACTCAAAATTTCTGCTACCAGTTCTCCAGAAGTGGTCAGAACCTGCTGAATACCACTTCTGGTTCATAGTCTAATATACAAGATTCTTAAAGTGAATATAAAGATAAAACTAGAAACTTTTCTTTCGGGTCTAATGGAAAAAAGACTAGGAGAAATGTTTTTTGGGAACTTTGATATGTTGATGGCAGCGAGATTACTTTATTGCACAAAAATGGAAGCACGCTTAATGGATGAATAGTTGCAAAAGTTCATGGAATTAGCAGAGATAGCCAAATTGGTTGCTTTGATCCCAGAAAAAAATACAACTGCTATTGTTTCTACTTGGAAACCACTTCTGGGCTTTATGCTCGAGGTGGAGGGGAAAAAATGAAACTTTGATGTTGGGTTTTCCGATGGGATAGGTTTGTCATTGTAGAAATGGCTAGCTTATATTATTATGTAAAAGTAAAAATGTTGAGGTTTGATGCTATTATTTTATTCTATTGCCCCAAAGTCAATGCCTTTTTAAAATCTTTTTTCTCCTCTTTTCTATGCTTTTCCCTTCCCTTTCCCTTCCCCTCATTTTCCTGTTATTTTCTTTTGTATTTTTGCATTTTCTAACTTATGAAATATGTGGACAAGTACAGATAGTTTCTCAACCTACAACCATTTGTTTACTTGTTCAAAGCTACAACAGCACCAGTGGTGGGATTCAATTTTTTTTTTTACTACCGGTTCTGTGGAAGTGGCTTGGTGGGCGTGGCAGGGGAAGGATACTGTAAAATCCCCGTGTGGCAAGAAAATCCACGGAACCAATGTTTTGCTTGGCAACAAAAAATGGGGAGGGCTCCATTTTTGTGGCCGTTAAGTCGAGGACTACGCTGTACTGAGTCCATTTTTTTCCCCCTTGGCAGTCATCGTCCAGCTGGATCAGTCGGGGAAGGTAGAACTTGGGGGTCTGAACGGAAGATACAAGGCGGTGCAGTTTCATTTCCACTGGGGCAGCGAGGTAGGGAAGACGCAGAGTCCTGGATCCGAACACAGCATTGACGGAGAGAGGTATCCCATGGAGGTAAAAGCACTCAGGAACATCCCATCTCCAAACTCTGGCATCAGGAAACATGTGTTTAAAATATATAAGGTGAAGGTAAAGGTAAAGGTTCCCCTTGCACATATGTGCTAGTTATTTCCGGCTCTAGGGGGCGGTGTGTTCATCTCCGTTACAAAGCTGAAGAGCCAGCGCTGTCCGAAGACGTCTCCGTGGTCATGTGGCCGGCATGACTAAACGCCCGAAGGCGCACGGAACGCTGTTCCCTTCCCACCAAAGGTGGTCCCTATTTTTCTACTTGCATTTTTATATGCTTTTGAACTGCAAGGTTGATGGAAGCTGGGACCAGTAACGGGAGCTCACTCCGTTACGTGGCGCTAGGGATTCGAATTGCCGAACTTTTCTGATTTGACAAGCTCAGTGTTTTAGCCACTGAGCAACTGTCAACTTATGACTACAATAAGAACCGGAATTTTCAATTGCTAGACAAGATGGTTGCTACTTGAGTTGTTCCTGATTTTACAACCTTTTTTCCCCATGGTTCTTAAGGGAAATACTGCAGTCATTAAGGGAATCATGCAGTCGTTAAATGCATCCATCTTCCTGTGTTGACATTGACTGGTGGAAAACAGCTGGGAGAGTCAGAAATGAGGATGGCATGACCCCGGCGTGCTTCAACTGTTGTAAATTCAGGCCGATTGCCAAGTGCCCAAATTTGATTGTGGGGATGCTACAAACCTCACTCCCTTCTAGCACTGATGATGTTACCTAGTTGGGTAATGAAACATCTGCAAGAAAACAAACAAGCTCAGAGAGCACCAAGGACCCCACCTTCTTCTTCTTCTTCTTCTTCTTCTTCTTCTTCTTCTTCTTCTTCT